AGCCTTGGGGTGTAATGAGCACCAGGTTTTTGGTCTTTAGACCCAAGAATTTTGCCCCGATTTCTTTTCTACCTATGTAAGCTACACATTAAACTTTTGCTACACTAATGCAAAGCGAAACAATAGTTCAATATGTTGCACAAGTATATTGGACCAGGAAGGTTTCTTATGCACCAAGTTTTACCAATGTAGCAAATACACATTTAAAGGACACACACACAGTGAACATGTGTATGAATAATCTTCGCTGTCAGAGGAGCAGGGTCACCCTTCTGTGATGGTTTTACTAACATTTAAGTAGTATATGTAATTTCCATGTCATCATTTCGCCGTTGACCCCTCGCTGTTGAGACTGTCCCGGTAAACGTGAGGCCTTAAACAGCAAGGCCGGCCTGGTTCTTCCCACTCTCAGGACTGCCTTTTGTGCTGATGACTTCTGTCTTTGCTCATGCCCAGCTCTTCAGTCATATCTGTCCCTAGGAGCTGCCAACTGGGACGTACCCAGTCTAGCACTGCAGGCCCCATGTCCGGGGAAGACGCTCAACACGGCAGGCGGGGGTGTGTGCACCTCACCCTCTGTCCTTCTAGCAAGCACACCAGCACCAGTGCCCCATGACGCCCCTGCCCCTCGTCAGTACTGGCAGTCGGTAGCCGATCCGATGTGAAGGCTTATTTTGAGTTGTTCATATTGAATCTGAGGGCGTGGCACTGCAGTGGATGGCGTAATGACCAAGCAGCCTTCTCCGGTTTGGGGGGTCTTCTTCCGTGGGCATCGGGCCAGGTGATGGGGAGTGACAGCTCCTTCTCTAAGACTGAGTGGGCTTCCTGTACTTCCGGTCCTCCCGGCTCTCCTGCCCTTTCACCGGAGGATGTTAAAGGTAACAAACTCGAGAGAGCACTGTGCACTTGAGAAGACGGCAGTCTTGTCTTTTGTCACTGTGACCACCTCTGGTGTTACGATACATTTTCTCGAAGTTGTGTCCGTCGCTTTGATTCTAGGCATTTGTACAGAAGCAGCACTGACTCATTCTGTGTGCAGTCAAGAGAAGTCTGCCAGTGTAATTAAAAAATGAAATATTGATTTTCAGTAAGATGCACTGAAATCCTGTTTTCCAATTTTCATGTAGACATTTAAGTGTTTTGGGAAAACTCTGGTGGCACATCATAGCATGTGGGCCTTACTCCCTGTGGATGAGAAATCAACGCTCTTGTTTGGGTGGGACACTGCAGTGCAGTTGAAGTTGCTGGACTCCAGAGGCACTGGCTGTAATAAATTGTCGTTAACAAGCAGTTCACGTGTGGCAGGGGGAAGGCAGTCCTCGACGCTGTGGCTGTGCAGTGATTTGTTATTGGTGTGCATTTGGTACCCATGCTGGCGTGGCAGCAGTGAGGGGGCGTCTCCACGTGTGGGACCGTGTGTAGTCCGGTCGAGTTAGCACCGAGGTGTCAGACAGCTCACATCAGGTCACCCCGCCTTTAGGGTGTGTGCAAAAGATACTTTTTATTTACTTATTTCTTCAGTAACATTGCCCCCACCAGCCTGGGCATTGAACATTGCCCCCAACAGGGTCTTCACATTGTGACCCACCCCCACGAGCCTGGATAACAGGGAGGCCCCTGCTGTGAACCCAGGGTCCCCCAGTGGCTTCTTTACCACAGACCATTGTGTTAGCACGAGCTGTGGTCTAGGCCCAGATAAAGTTTTTCTAAAGGAATAACAGCTGCTTCAGGAAAAACAATTGAGTTTTTTAATAGGTTTTTGTCATAGGATATGTGCACTCACCAGAGAGAGAGACAGAGAGACAGTGAGAGGGATTGTGAGAAATCACCCCCTGCGGGGAATGGCCACGCTACAATCCCTTTTCCTACATTTTCCTCCCCGGAATTTTGGGCATGCACATACATATGCCTGGTATGATTTTCAAGCCACCAGGCCAAGGACTAGAACCATCATCAGCCGTGTGGTAGTCCAGTGACAAAACCACTATGTCATAGGCTGGCCCTTGAATTATTTTTTAAAAACGTTTTACTGTGGCTGGCCAGAGCTGCAACCGCATAAAGCCACAGGGAGACGGCTGAAGGCTCTTCCCTGGGACCTGATGCTCTTCCTTGCTAAACATGGTAAGGGAGATTTACCCCCTTTAAGACTCAGCTTTAAATCAAGGGAGCATGTGCTTCCTTTAGAATAATTCTATCAGCTGGTTCCTGGTAGGATTCTGAGTAAGGACAATAGACCCTAACTAGGACTACAGGATAGTACAGCCTTCAAAAATGGATGGAAATGTGTATTATGAAAACCTATGCATGGATTTCAGAAGTTTTACGCACCAAAATAAACTTGTACTTTAATTCAGTTTTTCTACTAACTTTTTGAAATGCCCATGTACTGACTGTTTATACTCAGTCCTGTTAACTGTGGCCTGGGTCCTGTGGATAGGGCCAGACAGGGGACGGGAACACACTGAGCTGGAAAATGCCTTCTGGGCACTTGGACAGGAAATTAGATGCAAGTAATTTTCTAGAGAGTCGGAATCTCTAACCTGCAAATCAGGCATAGAACTTGACAGAGGAACGTTCGAGCTCTTGGGTACAAATCAGGACTTTAAAAATACCTGGTGTGAATCTGTGGGAGTAGACTGCTTGATTTCTGTGTTTCATCCGTCAGGGGGTGGAGTCAGCATTCCCCCGTGTTGCTGCCCACCCAGCAGGGACACAAGGTGGGGGCCGGGGTCAGGACATGAACGCGGTACTGATGGGGAAATGGTGGCACTGACAGCCTTGGTGACAAGGTCTGAGAGGGAGCAGCATGGGCGTGAAGGGGCACAGGAGTGCAGGGCACTGAGTGGAACGGAGGAAAGCCAGCGTTGTCCTGAACAGCCAGTCCGCCTTATTATAAAGCCTACGGTCTTACACGCCGTGGAGTTGTAAGACAAAACTTTAATTATTTTGATACTTCTCATTTTGAAAAGGAGCTTACAAATCCAATACTTTATTATTTTATAAAAATACTCTAAGAAATAGCAAAGGGATCCTCTCGCATTGCTTCCGTCATAAACTGCTCTTCGCTGTCCTGTGCTACTTGTGGTCGCGGAGGGGAAGGCCCAGGTTTCCTTTCATCACCTTGGCTTCAGAGATGCTGAGTCACAGCCCGACTTGCTTCACCCAGCAGGAAACTTTCCATGTCCTTCCACTTTCTGTCAAATGCCTGAGTCTTGGTTTTTTTTTTTTTTTATGGCTTAGTAGTATTCCGTGGAGTATATGTGCCACACTTTTTCAACCCATTCATCTGTTTGTGGACGTTTGGGTTGGTTCCACGTCTTAGCAATTGTGAGTAATGCTGGAATGAACATAGATGTGCAAGCACTTTTTGGACTGAGCATTCTCCTGCCCTTTGGGTAGCTACTCGGAAGTGGAGTTGTTAGATCATATGGTAGCTCTATTTGTAGGTCTTTGAGAAACCTTCACATTGTTCTCCACAGTGGCTGGGCCGGTTTCTATTCCCACCACTAGTATAGAACAACTCCTCTTTCACCGCACCCCACCAGCACTTACATTCTGTGTTGGTTTAATCTTTGCCATTCTGACTTGGGTAGGTGGTATCTCATTGCGGTTTTGATCTCCCTTACGATGAGGGATGTTGAGCATTTTTTCATCTACTTTTTGGCGTTTTCTCGTCTTCCATAGAGAGTTGCTTATTCAGCTCATTTCTCCCTCTTTTAATTGGTTAACCATTTTTTTTTCTGGATAACCCACTTGAGTTTCCTGTGTATTCTGGTTATCAGTCCTTAACTGGGACATAGTTTATAAAAATTTTCTCCTATTCCTAGAGTTGTCAACTCTCACTAATTCCTGTGTCTTTCGCTGTGCAGACTTCTTAATCTGATGTAACCCCCTTGTTTATTTAAGACATCCACTTACTTCTGACTTCTGTTTTCCCCTTCCTGACATGGAGGAAATTTCAAAAATATTTATGCGATGGGATATAGTTGGCTATCTACTTCAAGATAGAATTTGCATGGAATGAGACAAAGTATGTGAAGCCCTGGTCACTCGACAGTGTACAATAAACAGTTCAGTTTGATTTCGTTGTTTCAATCGGAGATTCACCAAGAGCATATCAGAAGGAGCGGCAAGCTTATTTGAGGAAAAGGAGCAGAAACAGTTTCTGGAGGAGCTGATGCCTCACGCAAGTTCTTTCTTTTAACATTTGCTAGCGGGTGTAGGTGCTCTCACTGGAGAGACAGAGGGAGCAAGTGAGAAAGCACGCCCATGGGGCGTGGTCATGCTACACTCGCTTCTCCCTCTCTCCCTCCTTTTGGGATTTTGGGCACGCACACACACTCACCCAGTGTATTTCCAAGCCGCTGTGTCTGGGACTCTAAGTGAGCCGTCGGCCATGTGGATCCAGCTGCTGTCATCACCATGCCACCAGCTGACCTGATTCCAGTTCTTAATGAGTAATTTCCCTCTGACAGGAGGCAGAAAAGGGAAGTGCGCTCTAGGATAAGAAAAACAGTGAGCAAGATGTGAGGCCCTGGGGGGCTGTGAGGACTTTATCGGAAGTGTAGGTGCAGCAGGAGTGGAGGGCGGTGTTCTGCAGGGTCCTCGGGCAGGCTAAGCTGCTGGACTCCGTGAAGGCCCACTCGGGCGGTTTATTTTTACGTGTATTATTTTTTGTGTATGGGCTCTGGAAGGATGGAGGCAACGTCAGGGTTGGAGGGAGGTGCAGGCGAAGGGGCGGAAGCGGCCTGTGGACTGCTGGGGGGAGTGGCTGAGGGCTTACTTAGGCAGAGGGGTGGAACGCGGAGCAGGCCACGGGAAGCTAAGGACTGAAGTCGGCAGGGCACACACCTGTGCAGATTTCAGGAGTGGAGGAAAGCAGGGAGCCCATTTGGTGACAGCAAGGTGTGGCGTGGCGAAGGTTCCAGGGAGCGACTGTGATGTCAGCGGAACAAGCTTGTTCCCAGGGGCAGCAGTTGGAATCTGTTGGAGGGCAGTTGGTCAGTCCTTGGCCTGAAAGAGCTGGGCATTGGGCAATGGAAGCCCCCACCCACGTGCCACCCCTGCCTCCAGGAGGAAAGAAACTGATCTAGGGTCTGTGCCAGGCTGGTTCCCAGGCCCGACCACAACCCAGTCGGATGCCCCACCTGGGAGCGAGGCTGCTGCACAGGCTGGGAGGCCTGCTCATGAGCTCCGCACTGCTGGCCAGGGAGCTGTTCCGACTCCTGCTCGCCGCCCGGCAGGCACCACTTCCTGGTGATATGGCCAGATCCTATGGTGAGGAGGTGCTTGTCCACATGATAATGGGAATGAACACTTATTAAGCTCTTACTGCATACCAGGTATTCTGCCGAGCCCGTTTGAAGTCCCTGCGGTTCTCTGAGGGGTCGTGTCTTGACACCAGAATGTAATAGGTGCACCGAGTATTTTCCTAATTTGGGTGAACTGATGACTTCAAGGGTTCTTTCAACTTTTCAGTACTCCAAGGGGTTGGAAGAGAGAGTGTTGAGGAAACAAAACTGTAAGGAAATGACAGAGAGAAACGTGGCAAAGAGTTAGTGCTAAACAAAGAAAACGGAACAAACCAACCATATAGGCCCTCTGCATTCGTGGGATAGAGGAACATTGTCCCTCTTGGAGGCAGGGGTGGCACGTGGGTGGGGGCTTCCATTGCCCAGTGCCCAGCTCTTTCAGGTCAAGGACTGAGAGCTGCAAGGGAGTGAGATGACCTGAGCAAAGACTAGAGATTGGTTGCCTGGGGGTGGGGTAGGAGCCACTCGCGTTTTTTTGTTGGCTTCTGTTTTCAGCAGAAACACTGGAAGTCACAGGAGTGGAAGGGGTAGCATGAACTTTGCTACAATTGTTTATATCTTTGAAAATTCACTCATAATTATCCTACAGTGTTGTTTTTGTTTTATTTTGGTTTGTTTTAAGAGAGATTTTTGCTGTAGAGTGTGTGTGCTCACCGGAGAGACAGAGAAAAACAGAATGTGAGACATCACACTTTCTGATGGGGGGATGGTCGTGCTGCAAAACCTTCTCCTCCATTCACCTCTCAGGATCTTGGGGACGCACGCACACACGCCCGGGGTGTTTTAAGTCACTGAGGCTGGGACTTGACCGCATGGTCGGATGCATGGGAGCCTGGTGATGTAACCATTACGCCATCTGCTGGTCCCTATAATGTGTCAATTTTAAGAGTACCAGAGTGAAATGTATTAGAATAGATTAGACTGTCTGAATTAGAGTTAAGGCCGACCTGGAAACGTCAATCAATGTAGAGGGCTCCTTAAGATACTGACCACATGACTACTTTATGGGAGTTCCTCAGCCACACTGCAGCTGACAGCCAAAGTGAGTCTGCCACTCCTCGTCCAGGTTAAGGTTTCCTCGCTTACTTTAAAATTGGGAGAAATGATGGAATTTTTTCTTTGTAAATTGATTTGTGATTCTCCCAAGTTCCATGAGCATAATAGAAAATAGAGGAACCCAGGGCATCGTTTATTGAGCCTGCCTCCTGGTTTCTGCCCTTCTGCTGTTCAGTGAGCATCCAGAGTGACCTTAGGAAGGCAGGCAAGGCCACTCCCGTGTGAAACGTGTATCGGGCCACTGCCATGCTTGCTCCAGATAGTATGAAGGGTCTGCATGCATTAACTTTCTCGGTCTTCTTGATAGTCCATATAGGACTGTTAGACTTGTCATCACGAGTTTACAGATCTGAACCTTGTAAGTACATGCCAATGGATGCAATAGGGATCATACATTTTGTATCTTGATTATAAATGAAGAAGATAACTCCCCGTTTAACTATATAGGACACAGTTTATACCAGCATCTTAAATTTGGAAACTTTTTTTTTTTTTTTGAGAGGTTTTTGCTATAGGGCACGTGTGCTTGCTGGAAAGACAGAGAGAGACATAGAGACAGAAAGTGAGAAATCACCCCCCAGGGGGGATAGCCATGCTGCAGTCCCTTCTTCTTCATTCTCCTCTCAGAATCTTGGGCACACACGCATATGCGCCCGGCACGACTTTAAGCCACTGGGTCCAGGACTCGAACCGCAGTCGACTACATGGGAGTCCAGCGACATAGCCATTACGCTAACTGCTGGTCCCCAATTTGGAAACTTTTAAACACAGTTTTACTAAAAATATTTCCCCCCAATATTTTATGTCTTAAAGAAATTTTGATAAATTGCCAACACATTACATTAACTCTTAAAAATTAAATTTTTAAAACCTCTGATACTGTTAGCTTTTTGGTGCTATCTCTTCCCAAGGTCTAGAAATAAGGAGGACAGAAATTAAATGTGTGTCAGACTAGCAACAGGCACTGTGGAGGGGAATAAAGCAGGGACGGGGTTAGGGAATGCAGTTATAATCCTAGTCAGTGCAGGTAGGGAAGGCTGCCCCAAAAAGCTAAGATTTAAGCGAAGATTTAGAGCGATGAGCCAGGCGGATAGCTGGAGACAAGATTTTTAGACAGAGGGACGAGAAAGTGCCTAAATGCCTAAACTCTGAGGGCATGGCCGGCGTATTTGAAGTCAGTGCGTGGGCGAAGGGCAGAGGTGTGTGGAGTGTCGGTTCCTGTCTGAATAAGACGGGAAGGCCCAGGGACTAGCAGATGGCGGAGCAGGCTATGTCGTTGGACTCCCACATGGCCAACTGCGGTTAGAGTTCTTTACCCGCTGGCTTGAAAATCGTGCTGGGTGTGTGTGCGTGCCCACGATCCTAGGAGGGGAATGGAGAAGAAGGGACCGTGTCATGGCCATCCCCCCGGGGAGTGATTTCTTACTGTTCTTACTGTCTCTGTCTCTTTCTCCAGTGAGCATATGCACCCTATCAAAAACCTCTTTATAAAGAAAAAAGACAAAGACAGGAGGTCCTCCCCAGAAAAGTTTTACGCAGGGAAGTGACCTTACCTGACTTACTAAGATCATTCTGGATGCTCATTGAAAAGCAGAAGGGCAGAAATGGGGAGGCAGGTTAGGAAACCAGAGACCAGCCTGGGCAAGGGATGATGGGGCTTAGCCACGGCAGCAGCAGTAGACAGGGTGAGGAGTGGTGGGCAGGAAGGTGCGATTTAAGGCACAGCGGCAGGGTTTCCTGAGAGTGGCTGTGAGGCGGGAGGAAGGACGCCAGTGATGGCATCCAGGTTTTAGCCTAAGCAGCTACAAGAATGGTGGATCAAAGTCGAGGAAAATGCGGTGTTTGATTTGGATGTTGCCATGGTCTGAATGTCTCCATCTCCCCAGAAGTCATATGCTGAACCTAATGACCGGGGTGAAGGTGTCCGAGTGTGGGCCTGTGGAGGTGATTGGTCGTGAGAGTGAAGCCCCCGTGAATGGGGTGAATGCCCTGAGAAGAGGCACCAGCCCCCTTCCCCTTTTGCCATGGGAGGACGCAGAAGGTCCGTCTTAGAGGGATGCGGCCGGCTGGCGCTGACTCTGCGGGCCCTGACCTCGCACTGCCTGCCTCCGCGGTGTGAGCAAGACGTTCTACTCCTTGTACCTCGCCTGGGCTAAGGCGTCCGTTAGAGCAGCCCGAGTGGACCAAGACAGTGTTCAATGGGAAGACTGAGTAGTGGGGCTTTGGCTCTTTTATGCTAGAAGTCGGATATTAGAAGCTGATTAAAATGAGCGCTCAATTTCCTTTGAGTCTGTTATGGTAGAACGTGGGTGGACATTTCATGGGTGTTTCACAAATGGTCGACTTCATTCATTAAATCACTAGAGCCATAAAGCGATAGCAGTCTTTTAGGTCCTGTTGCCCTACAGCCCATGCTTCTTCACTGGGCAGAAGTACACCTGTGTGATAATCGAGCCTGTTTTCCCCGTAATACAGTCAGACTTCTAGCCCGCTTCTCTCTACAGTGCTGTGGCGTGGCCTTGCAGGGAGGCATATTCGAATCTCATGAGGCAGACAGGGAGACGTTAGGCTAAATAGGGAAGGACTGAAGCCAGGGGAGAGAGACGCAGGGCTGACCACTGACAACCTTGGTCAGTGGTCAGTGTTTCCAGGAACAATCTGCATGTGATAGGATCTGAATATTAGATCTGGTGGTGGTTTGGGTTTCCTAGGCCCCTGGAGTCAGAAGAGTCTGGGTTTTAGGACAGACTGACTTCGATCACATTCTGGTTTTGCCAGTCACTCGATACTTGCCTTTGGAAAGCTCTGTAACCTTTCTGAATTTGAGTCTCTTACCTGTGGACTGGGGAGGGTCATCATCTGGATCTCTTTCACAAAACCAGATTTGTCTCCTGCTGTCCCTCTAATTTCACTTCTCTTCCTGATTATGGGAAGAGTACCTCATCTCTGGTGTGGCCCAAATCCCCGCTGTATCAGATAATGCCAGCAGCTGGAGTAATGGCTATGTCGCTGGACTCCCCTGTAGTCGATCGCGGTTCGAGTCCCAGACCCGGTGGCTTAAACTCACGCCGGGTGCATGTGCGTGCATCCCCAAGATCCTGAGAGGAAAATGGAGGAGAGGGGATTGTGGCGTGGCCATCCCCCCTGGGGGGTGATTTCTCACTTTCTGTCTCTCTGCCTCTTCCTGTCTTTCTGGAGAGCACAGGCACCCTATAGCAAAAAGCTCTCAAAAAAAAAAAAAAAAAAAAAAAAAAAAAAAAAAAGCAACAACTC